CAAAAGAGGTTAGATATCAATCTTGCTGAAGTGCCAGCAGCTGGATTTAGGACCGTTTCCTTAAGAAACGGGGGTGGAAGGAAAGGGTCGCCAGGTCCAAACCTGCGGAAGCATTTCCGTAAGGAGGGAGCTTGCGACCTGGGCACACAACCCGGGAGGGGCATGGAATGGAATGAGTCCAGAGTCGCATTCAGTGTTGGGATCTCGTAGAGGTAACATCTACTGAAGGCAAAGTGAAGTGAGAAATGTGACTTAGCGAAGGCGTTCAGTGCTGCGTATATACAAAGCACTAAGACAATTAGTTCTTTTCAGAACTGAGTGTGCGATAAAAAAGAATTCGTGTTCTCTTTTAGGTATTTATTTTAGGTTTTTAGGCCCCCAATATGGAGATGGAAGAAAAACTAGAATACTTGGAAAGAGAAAACTACAGACTCAGACAGCAAAGGGAAGAGCTGACAAAAGCAACTAAATAAAAGGCTCAATCAAGTAGAGGGAATACTCGCCCAAAGAAAGAGGACGGACACGGGACCGTCCAGGGCGCAAAAAAGAGAAGAAAAGTTCGATGAAACCGACTTAAAAACAACAGGATCAACCCAAGGAAAGGGAACAGACACTGAAAACAAAGAGGAAACGCGCCAAACCAAGAGGCCACACGGCCCGGACAGCGCGTCGAACTCTGATTCAGAGGAAGACGGGTTGGTACTTGTTGAAAAGGCTAGACCTATCAAAAAAACTAGAAAACGACAGGCCCAAGAAAAAGCCGTAAAAATCGTCAAACAAGAGGCAGAAAAACAAGCCACCAAAAATATGAAAACTGAAAACACACCTCAGATGAATAACATAGAGAGGCAAAACACAGAAAAAGGGGAATCATCCCCAAAAGTGACAAGTGGACCACCGATGTAAGCAGGAAAGCCTCCACCAATAGTAATCCACGATGCCAAAAAGTGAAGTGCGATATCAAAAGACCTAGAACAAAGAAAGATAGGTTACAATAAAGCCAAACTCACGAGAGATGGGATATACCTATTCACCAATGATGAAAATGAGTGGGGTACAGCCACCAAATACGTAGTGAAAATACTTAGCAGTTTGACAGCCGAGCAGCAAAAAATCGCGCAAGCGGTCTTAGCCGCACTAATACAAGCACCCGCCAAACAGTAATGTCAGTACGAGTGCCTGACAGACTAGTTATAGGATTGTGAAACCTAAACGGTTTCAAAGACAGAAGAAACGAGCTACTTGAGCTACTGTCGCGTCTAGAAATAGACGTCATGGCACTCCAGGAGACACGGATAAGAAACAAAAAGAGCTGTCGAATCCCAGGATTTAATATACATAGGACAGACAGGCCAGGGGGTCGGAACGCCGCGGGGGGCGTTGCGCTACTAGTAAAAACAGATCTAGCGCAAAACGAAGAAAGAAAACCAGATGTTCAGCTCGGAGAAGTAGTAGCGGTCAGAGTCAACGTGAGACGCTACGAACAGCTGAGATATCGTCAGTATACCTACCTCCGCGAGGTAGAAGATTAGAAAGAACCGACATGGCAGAACTATTCCCAGATCACCATCCTACAGTGGCCATCGGCGACTTCAACGCAAAGTCGCCAGACTGGAACTGTAGATTTGCAAACACAAGAGTAAGATTACTAGAAGAATTTGAGGGCATCGAGGTTGTAGCATCTAATACCCCAACGCACTACCCGCGAGAAGATGCAGTCACAAGTATTCTTGACATCGCGCTAGTACAGAACATCGATACTGGAGATGGAAGTACTAGACGAAGGTTCGTCAGACCACAACCCCATCCTATTCACAATAGGAAGGGGTGAAGTGGAAACAGACAACCCAACAAGACGAGTCATAGACTGAACAAGATTCCAGCGAGCCATACACGATGCGCTGNTGTCGCCTTTCGTTTGTATGTCCTTTTCTATTAAATTATTCACATAATCAAACTGTTTTTTATTCAATCTAAAATACCTTCGAAACTTTTCTTCATCTAATGATAGGTGATTCATTATTAGTACACTAAAAAATCCTTCCTCGCGGCTTGTTTTGAACATAGAATTTATACACCTACGTTTTTTCATTCGAAACAGGTAATATAGAAATATATCGTCATCTTCTTCCAATAACCTTTTAAAGAATAGTTTCGAAGCCATGATACTGACTGGTTTACAACTTCTGATATACTGAAGCATAGAAGCCATTTCGCGCCTGTCGCTTGTCTCCGTCGCATAGTTATTGCAAGGAGCGACAGTTGAGAAGGTGTTTGGTCTCAGCTCGTAATGAGTGTCTCTGTCACCTGTCTCGGTCTCTTGAAGCGGAACGCTACCTTTACGATAAACGGTCGTCCGACTTTTTACCGGACGACCAAAATCGTATTGTGTGAAAGGAGCGTAAGAGATATTCCAGGAATCCCTTATCTCGACATGCAGTTAGCATCCAGTTAACAATTATATCAATTATTATTCTGTTTGTAGCTCTCGTAAGAGACAGTCCTCTCTAGTTTGTAAAATAAATTCTTTTAAAAAGTTATTTTCTCGTTCCAATCATTTAATTCACGTATTGCCATTATGTTCTGCGTTTTATTTACGCTCTGTTTCATTTGGGACTAACCTTTAAAACCAGTGTGCTCTGTTTTGATTATATTTTCGTAAATTCTATGTGGCTTAATGCTACTGATTCAGTTTGTGTAAAATTTCAGCCTGAGAACTGCGGTTGGTTGTTAGATGAATATTTAAAACCAGTGGGGTTTATTGGGGATCATACACCTTTAAAAATAGACGACATAATCGAAACAACTGCAACAGAAAACGATGACGAGGAATGCTCAGAAGTTGGAGATCTCAGCGACATGTCCGATTTCTTGTGTCGAGAAATTAATTTTTTGTAAATAGATTTTTTTTCTCACTACGTGTACCACCATCACCTTCAATACCTTCTTATTTACTAAAAACGTACATACTTGAAT